CCCCCCGTGTGGGTGATCCCCCTGTGTGGGTGAGCCCCTCTGTGTGGGTGACCCCCCGTGTGGGTGAGCCCCCCGTGTGGGTGACCCCCCTGAGAGCAGGTCTTCCAGCCCCCATCTAGTCTTCAGACCACTGTGGCCTCAGTGGAGAGCTTGCCCCAAACCTCTAAGGGTTGTAACGTCCATGCCTCCCAGCTAAGTCACGCGAGGCCCTGCCCCACCGGGAGATGATAGTGTGGTTTTCAGCTGCTAGTTTGGGGGTCGTTGGTTGCACACCCACAGATAACCAGCCCCGGGCCCAGCCCGGCCTGCAGGGGGGTGCGCTCACGTGATGTACTCCTCGCAGATCTTGCGGAAGTGCTCGCGCTCGGGGTCGCAGCGCAGGTCGTCATAGAGCTTGTTGATGAGGACGGAGGCGAGCATGCGGGTGTTGTCCGTCAGGGGCAGGCAAGACGGCAGGTCAGGCACTTGCCCCACCACCTTCAGGATCTTTCTCAGCCCTGCAGGGTTGAGGGGAAGATTGCTGGGGGATCCTCGGTCTTTGTGAACACAGGCCCTCCTGCAGCCATGTCTCCCCACCTCTCCTCCAGCTCGCCCCGGCCCTGTCTGGAGGCAGCACACGGGTGGGCAGTGCAGAGCCCTGGAGTAGGACCAAGAGACGTGGCCCCCACACCTGCCCCTGCACACACACACGTTTTGCACTGTTCACCTTCCCCACCAGGGTTCCCTTTGCCTGCTTACAAAGTACAACTACTTGATCCTCAAGCACTCTCTCGGGTCATGGTCCACGGCCGGTGCACACTGGTTCTCAACTACTGCACTGTTTGCTCTTCCCTTAGGTGTCGGTTTCTGTAGCTGTAAAATGGGCACACTACCGGCCCTGCAGAGTCTGGGGGGCCCTGGCGGCGTACTAGGCTGTGCATTGGGCTGCTAGCTGCAAGGTCAGCGGTTTGAACCCACCAGACTCCCCGGACGAGAAAGATAAAGGTTTCTGCTTCGTAAAGATGTATAGTGTTGGGAAACCCCAAGAGGCAGTTCCACTCTGCCCTGTAGAGTCGCTATTGATTCAAACAGACTCGGTGGCAGATTTGGTTTGGTTCGGGTTCCCAGAGTATACGTACGTCAGTCCATCCGCCCTGCCTGGCTCTCCAAGGCCCCCTCCCCAACCTCCTCTCCTCCCTTCAGTCCTGCCCCAGCCCCTTAAGCCTCTTATCTCTCTTCTGGGCCTGCTCCTTCCCAGGCCCATCCCATCCCTAACGCAGAAGTCCCTTCCACTTTGCCCTCTGCAAAGCTGGCAACTCTCTCATCTCCTCCCAGCCGCAGAGCCGGCGGCCTCCAAGGGATTGCCAAACGCAGCAAGCCTCCAACACCCGTGTGCCAGCCTCAGACGCGCCTAAGATGAGCTTTGTGTTTCCGAATGGAGACGAGCATGATGGTGACCGTACAAGAACATGTTATGGTGTTTGAGAGAAATGGAGTAGGGACTCGTACGTCTCTGAAGGGGCGATTTGGACAGGAAGCTGGGAAGGTGACAAGGGTGGGAGGTGAAGGGCAGTGTGCTGCTGACATATGGGGACTGCAAGGGGGGGACTCTCATTTCACCGCTGCTCCAGGCACGAAGCAAAAGCTGCCCGTGGCAGCAGGCAAAGCACCCTCAAACGCTGCCGTGAGCCCCAAGCCCCTCCACTGCTCACCATTATCCACCACGTAGATGGTGCGCGAGTTGTCGTGAATGGCGAGGTCCTTCCTGGGCACGTTCTTATTGAGCAGATTCAGGGCCTGATCCCTGCCCTGGCCGGACACCTTCTTACTGACTAGCATGTCCAGCAGGTGGCTGGTGATGAGCTTCAGGTCTTTCTTGGTATCTGAGTAACGAGACGGCGGAGAACGGATCAGGGAACCTCACACTGATGGACGCAGCTGCAGCTTCTAGGAGGTCTCTCTAAATATCGAATCCGTTGCTTGCTAGATGGTTGAATTTCCCAGGAGCATACAGCGTCCCTCATCCCACCCCACGCCCTAAAATGGAGGGAAATCCACAGACAACACCCCAAAGGGTCCTCAAGCCCCCCTTTGAACACTGGCTTCTACAGCAGACCAGTTCTTCCCTGAACGGTTCCCATTCTGGGAAAGTTCTTTACTCCCAGGCAATGATCGGCAGGGACCCGGGGCACGATGTAGCTTTCAGGGCACTGACTGAAGAAAGCCGTATCTAGAAAGGAAGACCCTGCTCCTTCCAGACACTGTACTCTCCACGGGTTCCAGCAAGATGAGGCTGGTTCAGATTCTTCGCCCAAAGCTCTGGACTTCCCTGCGTCTGGCGGATCTTAATAGGCAAATGCTTTCCCCTGCGTCCGCCCTGTCTGACCTCCCTGAAATGTGCAGGGTTTTATTCTCTTTCTAGTGTGGAGGCCAAAGTCAGGCAGGTAGGAAAGTACAGGATCTTGGAACCATGTCAGATAAATAGCAGATGAAAGGACTGGGCTATATCACCTAGGGAGGAAAGACATGTGGACAGGACAGCTTGTGTCCATAAGTAGAAAGTATGTTGTTAGGATGAGGGTGTAGACATTCCAAGGGGTTCCAAAGGGCAGAACTGGGACCCCACGTGGGTAAAAGCTATAAGAAGAAAGATTTGAAATAAATCACTTGTTTGTTTGTTTCAGCTGCCCAACACTCACTATCTCCCAGGAACGTTCCGGAAGACTGTGCGTGTTGTACAACCAACCACATCCCTCACTACTCATGCTCTCGGATGGCCTCCTCCCACAACGGCCCCTGGCTGGTCGTGTGAGTTGCTTTGGCTGATGGAACCCGAGTGAGCATGACAGAATCAGAACCTTGAAAAGCCCTTGAACGCCGACCGGGGCTTGTCCCTTGAGACACCTGCCACCCTGCTATGTAGAAACCCAGGCCAACCATCGGAGAGGCCACAAGAAGTCACAGAGGTGCCCTGGTGAACAGCTCCATCTAACCACAGCCATGCAAGGAAGACTCTTGGCCCTCCCGGCCATTCCAGGACAACCATCACGTGAGCAACCCCGGCAAGGCTGCCGGAAGAACCTTTCACCCACGCGCCACCGGATTGTGAGAACTCATGGTTGCTCTAAGCCATTATGTTGGGGGTGGTTTCTTACACTTACTGGATAACTGAGACAGAAGTTAGACCTGTCTGCTAGAAAATGACTCTGGAGGCATTGAAGAAAAGGGAGTCATTCTTTGTCCATGAACGCAGGAGGAGAGGCAGATAGGCAGAGGTCATGGTCAAGAAGTCGTTGATCCTGGTCATTTGGTCCCACTGAAGACCCACTGGACTCCCACTCACAGTGACCCCGCAGGACAGAGTGGAAATGGGCCCTGGGGTTTCGAGGCTGTCAATCTTTATGGGAGCAATGTCGTCTTTCTCCCATGGAGCGGCTGGTGCAGTTGAGCTGCTGACCTCATGGCCAGCAGCCCATGAGTAACCACTGTGCCACCAGGGCTTCTCTAGTTGTTGGTAATCGGAAAATCAGCTATTGAAACGTGTGTGTGTGTGTGTGTGTGTGTGTGTGTGTGTGTGTGTGTGTGTGTTG